TCGTGTTGCGTTTTTTTTAAATGTGGTAAACTATAGATTTTTTTTTTTTTTTTTTTTTGACTTTGTACCGCGCTTCGAGCCTTTGGGGATGAAGCGTGTTTTTGAAATGAACTTTATTATTTATTATTTATTATTACAGCACCTGCTGGGTTGTATCTTGCACCACTGAACTTGAGGCCACCAAGCGGCACGCACGAACGGAATAGCCCAAGACACACACTTCAAGAAAGAATTAAGCACTGGTGTGAGACTTCCCAACAAAATTTAACAACTTCAAACAGCGCATATATGGGAGTTTTTAAAAGTGTCTAGAATGTTTAAAGCTCGCCACAACACTTTGTCTGTATAATTCTATACATAAAAACGTGGGCAGAGTTAAGGGTCCACCCATGGTGCCTAAGACTACACTGACACCCCTGTTAAACAACACAGGTGGGCAGAGTTAAGGATCCACCCATAGTGCCTCAGACTACACTGACACCCCTGTTAAACAACACAGGTGGGCAGAGTTAAGGGTCCACCCATGGTGCCTAAGACTACACTGACACCCCTGTTAAACAACACAGGTGGGCAGAGTTCAGGGTCCACCCATGGTGCCTAAGACTACACTGACACCCCTGTTAAACAACACAGGTGGGCAGAGTTAAGGGTCCACCCATGGTGCCTAAGACTACACTGACACCCCTGTTAAACAACACAGGTGGGCAGAGTTAAGGGTCCACCCATGGTGCCTAAGACTACACTGACACCCATGTTAAACAACACAGGTCGGCAGAGTTAAGGGTCCACCCATAGTGCCTAAGACTACACTGACACCCCTGTTAAACAACACATCTCTACACGGGGATTACTATCGATCCTGACTTCCAGGCCCTTAACTTTTTGTATGTAAGCCTAGTTGTCCTATGAACAGGGAGAATACAACGTATTCATCTATAGATTGATTCTCTAACACCTGTTGCCCTACATACATAGTCCTCAAATATTTCATGTGATTTAGAAAATAGGCGTCTTTATAACAACTGTCGGTTACTGGTCGATGGGAAGTAAGAGGAGCGGGAAAATAAAACAACTATTTATAGGATAGGTTCTGTACTCACGCCAGTGGCGTCACTTAATCATTGTGAGCGCCCAAGTAAATTACGTTCGCGGAGCCCTTTAAAAGCATCGTTTTCCACAGCTCTCTCTGCCGCCGATGGGCGCGTAGCCTATTCGTTAAACAAGGTTAGGCTGGCGGACCAATTCAGTTTACAATAGTCTACACTATTGGTCTACCATATCATGTTCTAACTTTATTTCATGAAAAAAAAGAAACCATATTTTTTTTTTAAATATTAAAAAATTGCCATCTTTCTTTGTGTTCACATGGGGCGTGGTAACATCAACTTTGGAACCCACTGCCTTCATGTTCAATTGGAACCCACTGCCTTCATGTTCAATTGGAACCCACTGCCTTCATGTTCAATTGGAACCCACTGCCTTCATGTTCAATTGGAACCCACTGCCTTCATGTTCAATTGGAACCCACTGCCTTCATGTTCAAT